TGATCGGTGCATGTTGCGTTTTATGCTGACAAGGATTGGAAGCACATCTACTGATCTCTTGAAAGTAATTTTTAAATAAACAAACTTTGGTTATAAAAGTTTTCACAGCTTAAAGTTCTAATAATATGATATAGTACGTAGTATTAAATTATTTTAATAAATGAGCAAATAGATCGATAATTCGAACAATTTTACAAAATAGCGCACTCGTTCCTGAATTGCACCCTTTGTATAAAGCAGACTAGTTCAGAATATAACCAAATACAATTTGTTAAGGGCATTCTGTAGTGACTGTAATCTTAGCTGTTACAAGGTACAAGAACTCAAAATTTGAAATGATCTTAATTTATGGAAGTAATTTATACTTCTAGAACTTGACTTTAAATCAATAATTACAATTAATTATTATTCAGAATTTATGATGAGAAGTATGACTTCTGTAACAATTTATAGAATATTATTTAATATTTATAGTTATATTCTACTACATACATAAATATAGTTAAATCTATCACAATCAATAATAAATCACATCTTTATCAAAAATACTTAATATTTACCATATTGACAATTATTTCCATACGTTTTTACGGTACAATTGCATGTATAGTTATACACACCGAGAGCGATACAAATGCCTCCGTTCTTACATAACGAACTATTTGTTCGGCATATATTACCATCTTAAGTATAGCAGAAATAAAGCGAATTCAGAATTGAATTAATTTAATTATTTCATATAGCTGCGATATGTAGATATAGGTTCATAAAACTGAACTAAATCTATTAATAAACATTGAATTCGATTAATGTAAAAAGAAATAATTTATCTATAATAAGGTATTTATTAAGGTTTAGGACACTTGAAAGTTGAATTATCGATACCTGTTTCGCAATAGATTCCTGTTCGATCGAAGGGACAAATGCATGTATAGCCATTGGTTTGATCGTGGCATGTACCGTCGTATAGGCAAGGATTTGAGGAGCATTCGTTGATATCTATACGGTGATAAAATCATTTGGTTTTAGATAGATTTTTATGTACAGTACTTCAAATTCGATTTAATTTGTGTATAGATTTATGTCCATACGCGTATATACGAGTTCTTACTAGTTTCGCATTGATCGCCGCTATATCCTAACGGACAGTTACATTTGTAATCATTCATATTCTCTGTACAGGTACCATTATTTTGACAAGGCAATGCCTGGCATTCAGTGATATCTATGAAATTTGTTATAATCTTTATCTTAATCTATGTTTTTGCTCTGTAGTCTATTACAGTATTACTAGTATGTTGGCTACAGCATGGTATATTTCGCTATGATGCCATTGTGCTATATATTGCTACATATTATCTATTGCTTAATAATATTTTATAGCATTATTGGGTTAGTGTTTTGTGAATACAGCTTAACATATAGTAAATATATCAATTACGCCAATAAACACCGTTACTTCCAATACCGTACCGTAATTTTAGGTAATTTAATGTCATTATGAAATATTATGACTATTACTAATGTGATAATCATATTTAATATAAGCGCATTTAATGATTTTAGAACTTTAACTAATGATTAATAAAGTTACAGTATTACTGTAAATAAAGTATACAGTAACTTACTAGCAGAAATATCGAATTACTACAATTAATGCTAATAATTCTATTACAGTCATTCCAAAAAGTATTTTATTAGTATAAAAATAATGTAATTTCCACCAAAATGATGTGTTATTTATTCCAATTGGTATATTTGATGTTTTAAAACTCAACTAAAGGCACTGAAATATTAATTTTTAATTGAAGATGGGATAATCAATTTCCAGTTGCAAAATTAATGAAACATTAGCTGTTTATATTTATTTGTTAAAAAATACAAGTAGTTAATTTTAAATTAGTTTCAAAATATATCAATTTCAAGATATTAAACACTTACTATATTGGCAGTTATTTCCATATGTTTTGGTTGTACAATTGCATGTATAGTTATACACGCTATGAGCGATACAAAGGCCTCCGTTTTGACATACCGAGCTATTTGTACGGCAGGTATTACCATCTTAAGTACCGGATAAATGAAAGATCATGATTAGAGAATCGTTTTAATTTAATTTATTTATATTAAATAGCTATGATTTAGCTGTATATTATATTTGCAGTGAATAAATCTACATGTGAACATGTAGTGATTTTAAACTATATACAGTAGTTGTGGGAATCTAAGATATTGCAGTAATATTTAGTAAACGAATTATGCGATATAGAATAATAGGTTGAACCTATAAAGTAAATGTAGATTGTGATTGTATAAATAAACAGTGCACTCGTAATATAGATATTATATGTTAAAAGGGATTAAACCAATTTAATACATAATATTAAATTTGATTCGTACAGAAAATAATTTATTAAAATTAAGTGTTTACTAAGGCTAAGATTCCTAGAATGTAGAACTATCGATACCTGTCTCGCAATAGATTCCTGTTCGATCAAAGGGACAATTGCATCTATAACTATCGATTTGATCTTGGCATGTACCGCCATATAGACAAGGATTCGATGAGCATTCGTTAATATCTAAAGATTAATGAAAAAATTTAATTTTATAATATTTAGAATATAATATAGCATTTCGAACTTGATTTGATTGGCGATTAAATGTAATGTATAACTCTTACTAGTTTCGCATTGATTGCCGGTATATCCTACGAGACAGTTACACGCATAACTATCCACGTTATTTGTGCATGTGCCGTTATGTCTACAAGGCGATGACTGGCATTCATCGATATCTATAAAATTGATAAAGATCTTTATCGTAATCTTTAAGACTACTCTATTTCGTAATAAGCGTTTATCTATTACTTAATCTTTTGATAATGCAATAATAGTATTGCAATTAAATTATTTAATTTTAATAATTAGAGTACCAAAGTCGATTTTTGTATCAACATTAATACGACACTATCGTCTTTATTGATAACTATTTACCACAACATATGTACAGTTAAATTTATCATAATTACTATTAAATTACATTTTAATCAAAGTATTCAATATTTACCGTATTGACAATTACTTCCATACGTTTTTGCTGTACAATTACATGTATAGTTATATACGCCGAGAGGGATACAAGTGCCTCCATTTATACATACCGAACTATTTATTCGGCATACATTACCATCTTAAATGTAACAGAAAATAATGATGGTAGAATCGTGTTAACTTCATTATTTCAAATAGTTATAATATCGATATCTGTTCCTAAAACTTTACTACATCTATTACTAAACATCGAATTCGATTACTGTAGAAAATAATATATTGATAAAATTGTGTTTACGAACGCTGAGATCATTATAATGTTAAACTATCGATACCTGTCTCGCAATAGATTCCTGTTCGATCAAAGGGACAATTGCATCTATAACTATCGATTTGATCTTGGCATGTACCGCCATATAGACAAGGATTCGATGAGCATTCGTTAATATCTAAAGATTAATGAAAAAATTTAATTTTATAATATTTAGAATATAATATAGCATTTCGAACTTGATTTGATTGGCGATTAAATGTAATGTATAACTCTTACTAGTTTCGCATTGATTGCCGGTATATCCTACGAGACAGTTACACGCATAACCATCTACGTTATCTGTGCATGTGCCGTTATGTCTACAACGCGATGAATGGCATTCGTTGATAGCTGCATTTTAAATTGGAGACGGAGTACATATTTCATTATGACACGATACAAATGTGAAAGTATTGAAACATTAAAAGATAGCCCTGCAGCATAATTCGGTCTATATTTTTTTTATAATGTGTAATTGTTACTCAATTGATCACTTAATAATTCTACACTTAGTAAATCGATGATTTTAGTTTTCATTACCGTTGAAAGGCTCATAAAAAATCACCATATGCGTATGTTTTTTTATAGCTAGAACTGGTATCGCATGTTTTACTGTTTTACTATTATGGCCTAGCTCTTGCGGGCCTTTTTAATTTTTACAAATGTAATAAAGCAGAATCTTATCTTAAGTTTTAGTTGGTCTAGCTTTATTGTGAGCAAACGACATAAAATGGCATAAGATATAGTCGATCGTATTACAATTTACTAGTTGTAAATCTGCTTAATTTAACCGTTTATAGAGGAAAATTTAGAGCCAGTATCAACAAACAATGTAAATCAATAATAATTTTTCAACTATGAGTAAAATAGAAGTCTTAAGCTAAGCTCATTTCTGTTAAAGTTTAAATAACTTTTTACTTAATTCTAATTCTTACTGAATAATAATTATAAAAATATGTAATAAACGTAATATCTACTTTGATAAAATAATATTGTCAATAGTAAGAATATTAAATATGGTTAACTATACGCTCTATTGCAATTAATCATGGAATTATTAACTTACCATTATAACAAGTTAGAAAGATATCCAAGCATGAATCAGAAGGAAAATTTACCGAAGTGTTGAAGAAACAACTTGCAGGAGATTCATAATCTGTGCAGGTAACATTACTAGGCCAAATTGAGCCAACGTGAGTATTCGGGAGATAACCATAATTAGATATCGCTGAAAAACCCAACTGTCTGCAAGCTACTTTAGCCGTAAACCACCCGAAACTAGGATTACATACTGTACCCCAAGTACCATGATGATATATTTCAAGCCTTCCGCTAGTTGTACCACCGGAAAGATGTAGTTGTCCTTCCGTAGCTATTTGCAGGAAAATAGAAAAATATTGAATTAAATTGAATGATTGGGCAGATAATCATTATTTACGATTTATCTCAGATAGTAGATGACTTTTTTCCGTGAAATGAAGTAGACTATAGAGACAATGCATAAATGTATTGTATGTGCTGACGCTGTAAACTTTACATTCACCCTGATTAGCGAATGAAATCTTGACTGTGTTTGTCTTACCTCTCCAGACTATAGTAATACTGCAATTTAAAACATCTTATATTAAACATTTCATAGCTAGCAATCTTCCAGAATTAATGAGTTTATCTTACATTATAACATTTTATTTATAATGTGTCTTAACCAAATTAATGATGTTAATAAAGTATTTTCTCAGTTAGTGCGGTACAGAAATAGATTAAATTATTGCTTCTCCTATTTTACGCAACATATTATTAGTATTATAAATAAAATTAAAATGATACATTGAAATCATGCTGCTTTAAACATCAGTAAATACCAAATGTTTGAAATTTGTTTAATTATTACTTTGACGAATTTAGGGCAATTAATTTAACTAAAACCTACTAGTAATTTTGTAAGATTCAATAGTTACGTAAGCTTCATATCTTGGAAGTTCTCATAATGTGATATGAGGAGACTCAGATTATAGTGCCAGTTATAATATCTCCGAATATTTAACATTACTACTTTTACTAAAGATTATAAATTATTACCCAAGGTAGTTGTATGAACAGTTAGAAATTTGTTGCTACCCTTCTGCACTAGTTTTAAGAAATCATTTTTTCGCGTAAGCAGTTACGTGCGGTTTATGTTATTACGATATAAAATAATGCCAAAATTGAGCATTTACAGTTAAATATGAAGCATTTGTAATTTTGATATTAAACATTGTGTAAGTCGGTAAATACTATAGAACAAAATTATACCTATTATTACAGTAAAAAGAGAAATTTACATCGTTAATAGTAGCTAATTATTAGAAGTCTTACCTCCATTTGCGGCATCTAAATTATGTTTAAAAATAATATCGAATATCAGTAAAAGAATCTTACATATATTTATGATCTTCAACAAGGTTACTTAGTGGTATTACTGCAAATCAAGGCCTTCTGTATTTATCTCTATAGCTACAAACTATAAACATGACGATATGGCGTGACTTAATCCATTCGTATATATTAACATAATTACTGTGATTTATACTACTAACATTTTCCGCAACGAGTTCCATAGTAGTTATTGGAGCAGTTACACAGCGCTCTTCCTTTGACCGATATACAATCATGATTGTAATAGCATGGACGTGATATACAATAATCACCTAGCAGATACAGCAAAATCAGCATACAAAGACATCAAATATAAAAATAAGACATCATACGATACAACTAACGAAATTGTAAAATACTTGCTACTTCTATACTGTTTTCAGTCATTTAGATATCTTAATAACATGGTATTTATTTTTCGAAGTGCAAATCGCATTATCTAGGTTATGTTTACAACATATTTGACTAAGTCCTATTATTAACAGACTGCTTGAAGACAAAATCAATGTTAGTTTTAGTTGTATTGTTAGAGTAAGGAAATAATCTGTTCAGATATGTAGATACATACGGTATTGACAACGACTTCCATAGTATCCATAAGGACACTCACAGCGATATTTATATGCATAATACCCAGTACCGTTTTGTATAATACAAGTGCCATAATTATAGCATGGATTGCTTATACACGGATTTTTTTCTGTAACGAAAATAGAAGCAATTATTAATACAAAATATTCATAGGAGATATTAGAATTTATGTATATGTATAACGTTTATTATAATCTCATAGGAATTATAAAATTTGTTGAAGAGTTAAAGCTTACTTCCTTTCTATTTTTACAGAATGTGACAATGATATTGCGATATAGTTCAAAGTAAATTAAAGCGCCATTACTTGTTAACTTTTAGGACTCATAAAGTCGTATCACTAAATATTTACGTTAGTTTAAGGTATATTCTAGTGCTATGTGTGATCGCAAATGACTGAAGTAGGTTCCATAACCAGACATTTTGCAATCTGATGTATAGTTTATATAGATTATGAATTTCTAAATTAATTTTTATCTTAAATTACATTATGTCAGATTACTTTTAAGACCGTACCTAACGTCTACTTGTACTGAAAGCCAGAACTTCATATATTCTTATATGCACAAGTAATTGCAATATTATTTGTATAACATAAAATTTTAATTCAGAAACATAAAAAAACATACCATCATAACATGTTACACCAACATCTTTATTATGCCCGCAGTTGTGAACTCCCCAACTGTCATGAGGACATGCGGCTACTAAAGATTCATAACCAGAACAACGCAGGTTAGCAAGCCAAATTTGCCCACTTCCACGGCCATATTTATTGCCATACGTAGTTGTATGTGAAAATCCTAACTGTCTACAGATGACGTTGGCATCTAACTTATCAAAGGATTTGCTGCATATCGTTCCCCAAGTATTATTATAAAGGATTTCAATTCTGCCAGTCGAATTTAATCCATGATCATTAATAAGACGGACTTGCACATCTTTCTCCCATTTATTTGCTGTTAAAAAATAAGAATAAAAGGGATACTCAATAGAAACAAATAGTTCACAGAATCCTTTATTTCTTGTGCTGTAAATATGCTGCAAATAAACTAATGAGTACGCCGGAATATGCCATGTAGTTTTAAAGTATGATTGAATACATTAGTTAACATTTAATAATGCAACTATTAATTTTTAACTGTCTGAATGAATATATACCTTACTTATGTACAATATCAACTTATAATTAAGTAATCCATGATGAGATAAAATTTTGAACATAAAATATGGTTAGTAAACCTAATTGGTTTATTATTGATAAGTAGCTTGAGCTGATTTATGTCATCTATAATTAATGCTTTGTAATGCTGCGTAAATTTTAAGATTCCTTCAGCATTAACTAGCTAAGTAATACTCTAGCTATAATTTCTAAGTACTATAGAAAGTAATATCATCCGTATGATGATTCTACAGCCCTAAGTATCAGGATAATCATCCGGTTTATCTTAGCCGGGTGTCGTTTCTCAGTTCGACTGATTTTCAAGTAAGGAATTACTATATATAGAGTAGAGACTGTTAGATAAATGCTTTGTATGGAATTGTGATTGATTGGAAATTGGCTAAGTCTGATTATCCTGTTTACCTTAGCTACTTTTGACTGTGAGAAAAGAAGTGATTCACGGACCTCCCAGAACGTGATTTGCATAGCGGTTTAACAATAAACCTTTAGAATTTGAAGGCTATGTCTATATCGGCTATTCTTATCGTGAGATAAGATAGTGTTTTGTTAATTCTAGCAAATTGATCAAATGTAAGTGAAGGGAAGTTAGAGAGATCTTACGTGCTTACTTATTTTAAGTCGAACTAAAGTCAGAGTTGTGTCAAAAGTACTAATGGCATGGATTCTTAAAGTTTCACGATTATAGGGAAGCTTAAATATATTATTAGAATAAATTAAAAGCACTACATATTTTCATTTACCTGTAAAGCAACTTAACGTTCGCACATAATGAAAATTTCGATCATATGAATCTTGACAATTTGGTATTTCTAGGCTCCTACGTGGACAATTTGCTAGTGAAGACTCATTACCGCTGCACTGAATGTTACTAAGCCAGGCTGATTCTATTGCAGATTGACGTATATAACTGAAGGATTGCAAAGTTGAGTATCCTAGCTGCTGGCAAGCAATTTTAGCATCGGCCAAGCCAAAACCATGATAGCAAATCGAGTTCCAGGTATGATTATAATATATTTCAAGCCGCCCATAGGCACTATTAGTATCACTGGCTAGAAAGAGTTGATTCTTGCTAGCTAAAGGTATTAATAATGATAAATTACGGAAGGTTTAATTTTTATGATGTCATTTTGTTATAATGGATCCGTATTTGATATGTTACAGATTTAAGTATTTTTAGTACCACTTGATTTTATAATCATTATTTAATGCTAAAGACTAAATTTAAACGTAGAAATAATTTCAGATAACTTATACTTCATTTATGGTTAGTTGAGATAGTAGAGAGTCTGAAAATTACTAAAGACACATATAAACTGAGAATAAAATTCTTTTTCGACTTAATAATGTAATATCTAGGCAGAATAGGGTTATATGTTACGCTAAATACTCTATCTTAAAATTTCTAAATTAAACTGACATACGTCGTATATCTATTAGTTTCACTAGTGGAGATAATGTCACATATTAGTGCAATAGGGAAAATATTGAGAAAAAAACAGAATATAGTCTCACCTGTGCCTGTAGAATCTAGATAGGAAATTAAAAAGATTGAAATTAGAACGCATCCTCTTTTATATACACTTGGTAAGACATTATATGACAATAGTACACACTCGCACGGTTCTGCTAATATAGTACAAATATTACAATAAAGATATCAGTACGGTAGTCTGTAAAAGATATACATCAACTGCATATGTTGACTTAATTAAATATCCATGAAATACACAAAATAGCATATTTATAAATGTAAATCGTTAGAAAGTATCTAATTTTGAATGATTACAATCGGAAACTACGCTAATTTAAGAACTAACAGCCTTGGCAGCGGGTTCCATAATATTTTGATGAACAGTTGCATCGAAAAGTTCCGTTAATGTTTGTACATGGGTTGTTATTATAACAAGGATTAGGTAAGCAAAGGTCACCTAAAATGCAACGCAAAAACTTGATTAAGCATATATATATACTTATACGCTAGATTGTTATAGATAATCGCAATCGGTAAACTTGAAAGTATAAATTGAAATAAACTTCTGTATCCTTTCAAAATGGCTGATCAGAGAAAGCAGAACATCTTTATTCACAAGCTCGTATATATCTGTATTTTAGGATATGAACACTACTATATGGCAAGTTAAAACGATGTATTCTCCTGCACTATTGATATTTAAATAATACTTACGATATTGACAGCGATTTCCGTAGTAGCCATAACTGCAAGTGCAATGAGATGTTTTATTTCGTAATTCGCAGGAACCATGAAAACATGGATTTTGGAGACAAGGGTTGTTTACTATTCATGATGATAATAAACGATGCAATAAATAAAATATAGGCGAAGATAAGATTAGATAATATACTGTAGCCTTGTCACTAGCGATCGTACTTAAAACTCGAACACTTTCAGAAGTCATATATCATATGCGTTAAAGTGCATTAATGATTTAGTAAATGAAAATAAAAAAGCTAACTATCTATGAAATGTTTAGAATTGTCTGATTCAAAATTTTAAAATAGGATATGTAATGAAGCTGTTAGATAAGCTATTGTTGTCAACATCTTATGTTGAAGTGAATTAGATATAACTTAAAAATAATACCAAAATCTAGGGTTGTTAACAATAATAGGCATACGTAAGTAAGGTTTAAGATAATTCAAGTGTGTTGATTTCAGCTTCGTAGAATATGATACTGATCATATAATTTTGTTCTCATACTAAACTTTATAAGTGTTAAATCATGTTTTTCGCAATTATCACGTTGTAAACAAGTTAGATAACATATTTAAGTAGCTACGCTTTTCTGTCATTGTTGCTCTTAGTCATTCTTTTCTAAGATCTGCTGTTGTAGGAAGTTTCTTTGTCTGTCAGAGCTTGTTGTACTATTTTGTACGTAGTATCTCAATCGATAGAGAACCAGTAATAAAATCTGCTATTCTTAAAATTACTTGTTTCAACTACATTTTAATTACAGTCAGTAGAACAGGTTTTATTACAGGATACTAAACCTATTCGTCTTATAATAAATGTTCATAATATGACTATGTTCACATATTAATACGAATTGAGTTTAGAACCTTCTATCCACTTTCATTAATAAAAATATAAGAAGTCAAGTTGATATTAAATCACAATGGTGCCATTAAACATCACAAATACTCAAAATGTCTAAAGTAAATTGATATAATATAACTATACTACCAAATATAAACAAATAATGACAAACTTGGGATTGAAGAAAAAAATATAACGTTTTTTATGACTTACTGTCAAAACACGTTATTCCGATATCTTCGTCATGCTTGCAATCGTGAACTCCCCAGTCATCGTGATTACATGCTGTTATTGATGATTCATAACCATTGCATCTGATATTGTTAAGCCAGATGGTTCCATTCCCTTTTCCATATCCTGGACCATATGCGATAGGTTTCGAAAATCCAAGATGTCGGCAGATAACACTTGCATCAGTGTAATCAAAATTCTGGCTGCATACCGAGCCCCACTTTCCATTGTACAGAATTTGGACTAGTCCTGTTGAATTTAACCCATGTGTGTTTTCAAGACGGATTTGTATAGCGCTTTCAAGTTCAGTTTCTATTAAAATAATGTCAGTGCAACATAATACCAAATTAGATTAAATTCAATTGTAAACCTGATAATAAAGTAAAACGTGGGTAGAGTTTATGAAGAAAAATTAATAGCCATTACTAGTAGTGGATAATATTTTACTATCACTAACAGTAGGTAAAATGAGATATTCGGTAAATTCTTCATACACTCTTATTTTAAAATCAAGAAGATTTACTACAAGTTCTAGAGGAGTAGAGTTGTACAATCGATTTAAAGGAAAGACTGAGAGAATCAACTATTCAGACTTAAATTCTATATAGCCAGCATTAATGTATCTGTGAAAAATATTTTAAAGTCATTCATTTCGTATGCTATCATTTTGATGAGGAAAAATACTGCAAATTAT